TTATAATTCTGCTTCTGTCCTTTGTACTAGACTTTGGTATTTGGTTTCCTATTTCTGAATCTTGGCTTGTTGACACACACACACACACACACACACACACACACACACGCGCTGTACTAATTATCATTTCTACTTCAAACTACTTCACTTTCATTATTCTGTAGGCACCCAACCCCCATTTTTGGTCATGGACCAGTGCCTTAATCAAAACCACTGGACTTTACACAGGGATTCACATCAGTGGTTATTCATATGGTTTTCTTCTACAAATACTGTCCCCACCAGAGGAGTGCCAAAGCCAGCTATAATAATGGCAAAGTCCAGATCATTCCCTATTGTGTATTTTGGCTTTTTGTTTCTGGCAGTTGGAGTGAGTTGCAAAGACACAGAGTTACAAGTGGAGTTCTAGGGTCATGTGCACAGGGACCAGTTAAAATGAATTTGGAATGTGTGGATGGTAAACCTGGAAGTGGAAGATCCTCACCCCCACTTTATGGGTCAGGAGACTTGTTTATGTATAGGTTAGAAAGTAGTGATGAGTGGGACATATCTATTGTGAGAAGAGCCACAGAGGCTACTCTCTGTATTGTTTCTCTTGGTGATTAAGACTGTCAGCTTAAACTTTCATTTATTTAACACTTATTGAGCACCTACCATGTATGTATTAGGTGCTAGGCTAGAACTTTGGGATATAATGATGAGCAAAAACAGGCATGGCCTCCACTGTTACTGAGTTTACAAGCTAAGTGGAGCAAACATGTCATATATGAATCTAAAAATTATTTAATGAAAATTATTGCTAAATACAATAAAATAATATGACTAGTTATATAACCAAATCTAAATATAATGATATAACTATAATAAGTACAAAATTATAACTATGTTCTGTAAGGAAAAAGTGCATGGTATAATTACACATAGTAATAGTGCTTTCCTGGGAAATTATGCTCGAATTGAGATCTTAAGAGAGAGTAGGAATTAACTAGTTGAAGAAAGGAAGAAGTATAGCTATGCAAGTCTCTGAGGTTAAAGAACAATGGTGGTTTCAGAGTTGAAAGAAGGCTATTTTTTCCATTGTGTCAGAGAGTTATGAAAGGCATGTTGCCAAATGGGTTTAAGAAGCAGGTAAAGACTAATCATAGAGGGTCATCAGAAGAATTTGTGTCTTTTAAAATTTTTTTATTTCAACTTTTATTTTAGGTTAAATGGCTACATGTGCAGCTTTGTCACATGGGCATACTGCATGATACCCAGGTTTGGAGTATGATTAATCCCATCACCCAGGTAATGAGCATAATGCCCAAAAGGCAGTTTTTCAGCCATTTTCCCCTTCTTTGCCTCCCACCTGTAGCAATCTCTAGTGTCTATTGTTGCCATCTTTATGTCCATATGTACTCAATATTTAGCTCCCACTTATAAGTGAGAACACGCAATGCTTGGTTTTCTGTTTTTTCGTTAGTTTACTTAGGACAACAGCCTCCAGCTGCATCTGTGTTGCTGCAAGGGACATGATTTTTCTTCTTTTTCAGGCTGCATAGTACTCCATGGTGTATATGTACCATATTTTCTTTATCCAATCCACCATTGATGGGTACTTAGCTTGATATCATGCCTTTGCTATTGTTAATAGTGCTGTAACATATGCATTCATGTGTCTTTTTTATAGAATAGTTTATTTTCCTTTGAGTATATACTCAATGATAGGATTGCAGGGTCAAAAGGTAGTTCTGTTTGTAGTTCTTTGAGAAATCTTCAAACTGCTTTCCACAGTGGCTGAACTAATTTACATTCCCACCAATAGTTGTAAGCATTTCTTTTACTCCTCAGCCTCTCCAGCATCTGCTATTTTTTTGACTTTTTAGTAATAGCCATTCTGAGTGGTATGAGATGGTATCTCACTGTGTTTTTAAATATTATTATTATTATTTTGAGACAGGGTCTCACTCTGTTGCCCAGGCTGAAATGTAGTGGTCCAATCTTGGCTCAATGCAATGTTCACCTCCCAGGTTCAAGTGATTCTCATACCTCAGCCTCCCAAGTAGTTGCTGGGATTACAGGCATCCACCACCATGCTCGGCTAATTTTTATATTTCAGGTACAGATAGGGTTTTGCCATGTTGGCCGGCTGATCTTAAACTCCTGGCCTCAAGAGATCTGCCTGCCTTGGCCTCCCAAAGTGCTGAGATTACTGGCGTGAGTAACTGCGCCTAGCCCCATTGTGGCTTTGATTTGCATTTCCCTTGTGATTAGTGATGCTGAGCATTTTTTCATATGTCTGTTGGCCTCTTGTATACCTTCTTTCAAGAAATGTCTGTTCATGTCTGTTTCCCACTTTTCAGTGGGGATATTTGGTTTCTTGCTTGTTGAATTGTTTGTTTCTTCTAGATTCTGCACATTAGAACTCTGTCAGATGTATAGTTTGTGAATATTTTCTCCCATTCTGAAAGTTATCTGTTTTCTCTGTTGATATTTTCTTATCCTGTGCAGAAACTCTTTAGTTTAAGTAGGTCCCACGTGTAAATTTTTGTTTTTGTTGCAAATGCTTTTGAGGACTTAGTCAGAAATTCTTTGTCAAGGCTGATGTCCAAAAAAATATTTCCTAAGTTTTTGTCTAGGATTTTTATAGTTTTAAGTCTTACATTGAAGTACTTAATCCATCTCGAGTTAATTTTTGTATATGGTGATAGGTAGGAGTTCAGTTTCATTCTTTTGCCTATGGATAGCCAGTTATCCAACATCATTTATTGAATAGAGGGTTCTTTCCTCATTGCTTATTTTTGTCAACTTTAACAAAGATCAGTTGATTGTAGGGGTGTGGCTTTATTTATTTCTGCATTCTCTAGTCTTTTCCTTTGTTCTATGTGTCTTTTTTTGTACCAGTACCATGCTGTTTTGGTTGTGATAGCCTTGTAGTATAGTTTGAAGTCAGATAATATGATACATCTGGCTTCATTCTTGCTTAGAATTGTTTTGGCTATTCAGTGTGTTTTTGGTTCCATATGAATTTTAGAGTAGTTTTGTCTAATTATGTGAAAAAATGGCATTGGTAGTTTGATAGTAATAATGTTAAATGTGTAGATTGCTTTGGCCAGTTTAGCCATTTTAAGATATTGATCTTCCAGTCTGTGAGAACAGAATGTTTTTCCATTTGCTTGTGTTTGTGGTTTCTTTCAGCAGTGTTTTGTGGTTCTCATTGTAGAGATCTTTCGCCTTTTTGGTTAGATGCATTTCTAGGTATTTTATTTTTAGGGTGGTTATTGTAAATGGAGTACATTCTTTATTTGACTGTCAGCATTAATACTATAGGTGTATAGAAATGCCACTGATTTTGTACACTGATTTTGTTTCCTCAAATGTTACTGATGTTATCAGTTCTGAGCCTTTTGGTAGAATATTTTGGGTTTTGTAGATATAGATTCATATTGCCGGTGAAGGGAGATAATTTGACTTCTTCTTTTCCTGTTTGGATGCCTTTTATTTCTATCTCTTGTCTGATTGCTCTGGCTAGGACTTCTACTACTCTGTTGAATAGGAGTGGTAAGAGTTGGCATTCTTGTCCAGTTCTTAAGGAGAATGCTTCCAGCTTTTGCTGGTTCAGCATGATATTGGCTGTGGGGTTGTCATAGACAGCTCTTATTATTTTGAGATGTTGTCCTTCTATTCCAAGTTTGCTGAGGGTTTTTTTCATGAAGGGATGTTGGATTTTATCAAAGGCTTTTTCTGTGTCTATTAAGATGATCATATAGTTTTAATTTTTAATTCTGTTTATATGGTCAATCACATTTATTGATTTGTGTATGTTGAACCAGCTTTGCATCCCAGGAATGAAAACTACTTGATCACAGTGAATTAACTTTTTGACTGAATTAACTTTTTGATGTGCTGCTGGATTTGATTTGCTAGTCTTTTGTTGAAGATTTTTGCATCTGTTTATATGAGGAATATTGGCCTGTAGCTTTCTTTTTTCATTGTTTCCTTGCCAAATTTTGGTATTAGAATAATGCTAGCGCCATAGAATGAGTGAGGGAGGAGTTTCTCCTTTTCAGTTTTTTGGATTATTTTCCATTGAATTGATACCAGCTCTTCTTTGTATATCTAGTAGAATTTGGCTGTGAATCTATTTTACCTAAGGCATTTTTTGGTTGGTGGCTGTTTTTTGTTTTTTGTTTTTTTTATATTACTGATTCAATTTTGAAACTTGTTATTGATCTATTCAGGGTTTCAATTTCTCCCTGATTCAATCTTGGTAAGTTGTGTGTTTTTCCAGGAATTTATCCATTTCCTCTAGGTTTTCTAGTTTTTGTGAATAGAGTTGTTCATTGTAGTCTCTGAGGAGCTTTTTAATTTTTTTTTTTTTTTTTTAATTTTTGAGACAGATTGTTACTCTGTCGCCCAGGCTGGAGAACAGTGGCACAGTCTCAGCTCACTGCAACCTCCACCTCCTGGGTTCAAGCAATTCTTCTGTCTCAGTCTTCTGAGTAGCTGGGATTACAGGCATGTGCCACCATGTCCAGCTAACTTTTCTTTTTTTTTTTTTGAGACGGAGTTTCACTCTTGTTACCCAGGCTGGAGTGCAATGGCACGATCTCGGCTCTCCGCAACTTCCGCCTCCTGGGTTCAGGCAAATCTCCTGCCTCAACCTCCTGAGTAGCTGGGATTACAGGCAGGTGCCACCATACCCAGCTAATGTTTTGTATTTTTAGTAGAGACGGGGTTTCACCATGTTGACCAGGATCGTCTCGATCTCTTGACCTCGTGATCTACCCGCCTCGGCCTCCCAAAGTGCTGGGATTACAGGCTTGAGCCACTGCGCCCGGCCCAGCTAACTTTTATATTTTTAGTAGAGATGGGGTTTCATCATGTTGGCCAGATTGGTCTCTATCTCCTGGCCTCAGGTGATCTGCCTGCCTCGACCTCCCAAAGTGCTGGGCTTACAGGCATGAGAAACTGCACCCAGCCTCTGAGGATCTTTTGTGTTTGTTTGGGATCAATTGTAATGTCACCTTTGTCATTTCTATTGTACCTCTTTAGATTTTCTCTCTTTTTAGTCTGTTAATCTAGCTCATGATCCATTCATCTTGTTTATCATTTCAAACAAATTTGGCTTCATATATCATTTGTATGAATTTTGAGGTCTCAATTTCATCCAATTCTGGTCTGGTTTTAGGTATTTCTTTTCTTCTGCTAGTTTTGGTGTGAGTTTATTGTTCTTTTACTTACTGTAAGTTCAACTGAGATCTTTTTAACTTCTTGAGGTAGGCATTTAGCACTATAAACTTTCTTCTTAACACTGCTTTTGCCACATCCTAGAGATTTTGGCATATTGTGTTTCTGTTTTCATTTATTTCAAAGAATTTTTTATTTCTGCCTTAATTTTATTGTTTACCTAAAAGTCATTCAGGAACAAGCTGTTTAGTTTCCATGCAATTGTGTAGTTTTCATAGATATTCCTGGTATTGATTTCCATTTTTATTCCACTGTGCTCTAAGAGTATGGTTGCTATGATTTTGATTTTTTAAAAACTTATTGAGACTTGCTTTATGGCCAAGCATGTGGTTGATCTGAATATGTTTCATGTCCTGATGAGAATGTATATTCTGTGATTCATAAGTGGCGCATTCTTTAGACATCCAATTGATCAAGTATCAAATTTAAGTCCTGAATTTTTTTGTTAGTTTTCTGCCTAAGGGATCTGTCTAATGCAGTCAGTGGGGTATTGGAGTTTACCAGTATTATTGTGTAGCTAAGTCTTTTTGTCGGTTGAGAAGTACTTGTTAGGTCACCAGGAAACCTGCAATTCCAAGGGGATCTTCTGTTCCTCTGAGCTTGGCAAAATTGGAGTGAATTGTAGGGTATGTCTTAGGTGGCCTGGTGATACACTGGGTCAAAGGCAGAGGATTCTGGGGCAGGGCTGTGGTGTCACAAGTGTGCAGTTGGTATACCCTCAAGGACCCGGCTTTTTAGCCCAGCAGGTGACTGTTGAGTCTGCCCAGCTGTCACTTTCCCAACTGGTTCTTCCTCCAATTTCTGCCCCAGGAGCTAGTCAAACCAGCTAGTTTTGTTCCAAGCCTTCTGTGCCCAGATTGCTAGGCTGTTCCAGCTGTTCTGCATCATGGGGATCCCTCAGGCAGAAGCTGAACTGGCCAACAGGCAACACCTTTCCCACACTGGTCTTGTAAAGGGAGAGACACTTACTTTCCATATCAGCACCTACACCCTTACCCCACTTTTCTCTTTGTTCTAGTAGTGAGGGCTTCTCTCCTGCTCAAGCTCTGGCTGCAGATCTTAGCTCAACAACCCTGGGCAGTGTGCTTGAACCCTGGAAATTTGGGCTTATGACTTTGTCCTCTGGCTCCATGGACAAAGTCATTCACCAGCTGTGCTGGGGGACTGAACTGCTCACAGTCTGCCAGGAAAACACTTAGGTGGGGCACTCAGGAGGCTGTGCTGTGTGTTCCCACTTTCAGGAGCAGTCTGGCAGATGGCCTTGGGAGGGGTCAGAGTCAAGGGAGCACACGGAGCAGATGCACCACAATCCTTTGCAAAAGAGTTCTTGTCTCTCTGGCCTGGCAGTTAGCAGTGGCTACCATCACTCAGAGCAAGATGGAAAAGAATGGGGGATGAGTGCCTGTGGCCATGTTTTGCTGCAGCTACCCCATAGGCTGTGAAACCTTCTGGGCTCTGTGCAGGTTTGAGCTCTGCCTCTATCTAATTTCCAAGGAGTTCCCCTTGCCAATTCAAATGTCTAGGGGGGTATCAGATTTCTTGTAGCTAGGATCTCAGACGCCTGTGAAGGTAGTATGGTGCCCCAGAGTTCCTTCACTCACCCTTTCCTGAGTGCCTGTTCCGGACCAGAAGCTGATCCTGGTGCTTGATGACTCCTTGCAGGCATCCCAACTTCCTCTCTCTTCAACCTCAATGACCATGTCATCTCTGTCTTGACTTTCAGTGTTTTCTCTCAAAAGATCTGTTCAGAGGGTGATGGCTTACTCTATATTTTGATTTCTTTAGATGGGAGGGTAAGGGGCTTACTCTATATTTTGATTTTTCTGGCTGCATCTAATTGGCCATCTTGTCACTGCCTTTGGATTTCTGCCTTTATCTAAAAAAAGATGGGATGCCATTAAAGTGAGTTAAGCTGAATAGTGCTAAGATTTTTGTGTTGAAAAAATCATCCTTGTTGCTTATGTGGAGTAGGCCGAAAAGATGCAAGAAGATAAATCAGAAGGATCATTTGATAGATCCAGGAAAGGCATAATGCTGGCTCAGACCACTGTGGTAGTGGTGGAGATAGCTAGAAACGGTTGGATTCAAGATAAATTTTGAAATAAGAGTAAATAGAACTTGCTGATTAATTGGAAATGAAGGATAACACTTTCCTCAAATCTCTGACCTTCCACCTCCTGGATCACTTTTAGAAGATGATCTCATATACTGTCTTACTAAGAAAATAGAAGCCATCTGTCAAGAACTCCCTAATTTACCTGTCAATAAACATGAACTTATGAGGGGCTTAGAGGAAGTGATGTCTTTAGGGAACAGTCAGATTTCAGTTAAAGCAAGGGAGCAGAGTGAGAGCTCAGAGAAGTTTTAAGGACATAGGGGAGTCTTCTAGACAAGTATTGGCTCTTCTATTGAGCCTTTTACTGAGGTTTGGAAGGCAGTGAAGGGGAGAGGACTGATGTGAAAAAAGCATATGAAAAGAGTTAAGTTGATGATAGTGAGATAGAGGATAGATGACCATTAAATTTGTCATACAATGGAAGCATGGGCGAAAGCCATAGTGAATTTCTTTGAGGGAGGCAGACAGTGGGAGGTGGCAAGAGAATTTGACCAGGGTGGTTATAGACATAGACATTGGCAACCTACATGTGAGAAGGTTTGGACAATGCTGGATATAGAAACTGAAGACTCACATGCTTCAGGGCCTGGTGGATAAGAAAACCACAGAAGACTGGTATCAAGCAATGTGCATAGCTCCTTTGGATTGTTTTGGATCTCCTCCAGGAACTTACCTGTAGCAAAGGTAATGTTGTGCTAGGCATGAAGGAAAGCATAAGGACTGACATCCATATTTGTTTTAGAAGGGATATATAAAAATTGTTACAGTCAAATTTCTCTATTGTGAGATGGATGAACAAGTCATATTGTTTATTTGATATGTGGTCATGGTAATCTTCTTTCTGTATTTGGTTGATCGTTCTTGCCTACCATCATTTGTAGACAGTGAATAGGAGAGTGGGTAAATTCAGACCTGGAAGGCTTTGAGGGCTGCACTCTAGAAATGCAAGGCTATTTGTAATACATGGTCTCACTTTAAATTTTCAGGTAGTTATAGAGATGAAACACCTCCCTAATCAAGGGAGCAGAATATGATCCAATGTAACAGGTACTTTGTGTACCATCTTAGTGAAATATTGAGAATTATGTTAAATACTTATGAAGGGAAAGGGCTAGGCAAATCATGTTAACAGTTTCTTTTTTCTTTTCTTTTTTAACAGTTAGTTTCTTAATGAACTCTGAGAGATCAGGGCATATTTTTTTCTGGAGCATCCTGAGCCTGCTTTGGTTAAAGATGCAAATACTTTAAGCAGTAGTATACATCAGAAAGTTTTGCCAGACATAAAGATTACCAGCACCTTGGGAGGTTGAGGCGGGTGGATCACCTGAGGTCAAGAGTTCGACACCAGCCTGACCAACATGGTGAAAGCCTCTTTCTATTTAAAAAATACAAAAATTATCTGGGTGTGATGGAGGATGCCTGTAATTTCAGCTATTCAGGAGGCTGAGGCAGGAGAATTGCTTGAACAGGGGAGGTAGAGGTTGCAGTGAGCCGAGATCACACCACTGCACTCCAGCCTGGGTGACAGAGCAAGACTCAGTCTAAAAAAAAAAAAAAAAAAAAAAAAAATTACGAGGCAGCCCTAATGGGTCATATTCAGGGTGAGTAGACTTTAGTATCCAGCCAGGTCAGTGTTCTAAAAGGAGCTTAACACACTTGTTTGGGATTCACTTTAAGTAAAGCAATATCTTGATTTTTCAAAATTGCTTCCAGTAATTCTGAAACTGCCTCAGGTGCTACTTATCATAAGTGTCTGCCTGTTGTTGCCCCATGATGAAGCCTTTTATTTCTAGCAGTAGTTATAGGGCCCTATCAGTCTTTAAGCAAAGACACTCAGGCATGAATGAACTTGCCCATAAATAAATTCATAGATTCCTCTTGCCTTATATATACCTGCTGTATACATGATGTGAAATTTGGCTCTACATGAGAATATGACAGATTATATCTGAACTATGCCTAACTCTCTTGTCATTATGCTGTTCCTTGTTAAGAACGTCAGGTCATGGGAGAGTTCTAAGGCCTCTCAAGTTAGTATATCCAGGCTTTAAAGACCATTTTTGCAGTGAAGTCTCATATGTTGTTCAATTAATTATTGCCATAGACAACTTTCTCTGGAAATAAGTGCACAGGGAGAGTTCATATTGACCTGAAACCCTATGGCAGGAATTCCTCTATAGAGATGGTGGAGGCCTCTTTGTGAAGAAAGGAGATGATGAATAGAGTGGTATGATTGAGGTTGAAATGAAGAAGGTAATTCTTGAAAGGTAATTACCATTTGTAAACCAGTTATGTCATATCTGTTTTCTCTAAATTCCTTGTCTGGAAAGAATATCATTATGGATTCTATCAGGACAATAGAGTCACTATAAACATTATCAGAATGTGTGATTTCTTAAATCTCAATGGAGCTGTAGAAATAAAGGTCTAGAAGGGAGTAACAGATTCAGAAAAATCATCTCCAACCAATACTCTCCACCTGTCTCACAGGCAGGTCTTACAGGGGAAAGCAAAAATCAAGTACTTCAGACTGCTGCAGTGCAACAACAAAGATGGGATTTATGGTGAGGTCTATGGAGACCTGTGGGAAGTTGTTGCCTGCATGTAGCTACTGCCTCTGTCAGTCCAGAGTCAAGCATTTGGTTGAGGATCTGGGGTCACTTGGCCAGCAGGGCTAGCAGCTAGGAAGATAATTTGAATTCAGAGAAGAGGAAGGATAATGACAATTGGAATTTCTCATTCTTTTAAAAAGTACCAGGGCCCTAGCAAAGGAGGAAAGACGGTTGATAGATTGCCACAGATATTTCATCTATATAATTCCAAAGGCATAATAATCTTCCAAGAGTGAAGTACATTTCTGTTTTTCATTTCTTTAGATTTGAGCCACAGATGCAAAATAGATCATGAAGCCAACTGTTTATTCACAGTTAATATTTGCTTCCTTTTTCAAGAACACCACTTAATAGGCCAAATATAACTTACAGGTGCCTCAAAAATGGGAACATCAAGTAACCCGGACCCAAGAGAATTCTGGGCTTAGGTGAGGTTCAGAGTCTAATGATCCGTAGTGTCTAAATGCTCCCAGAGTTCACAGCATTATGTGTTTCTAGTTAGTTGACATGATAGCCCTTGAACAGTAGGTTCCTATCTAACATATGTTCCTGGACTTCTCCCAAAATGTTCTAGTTCAGTTCAGAGTTCAGCGCAAATTCAGTTGCAGTTGCTGCTGCCGCTGCTTCTCTTCCACGTTTCTTTCTACCTGTCAGTACACACTGAAAATTCATCCATCCTTTTCCTGAGAAGGAGGCCATAGGTACTAGGAGGTATGAGTATGTGACTATGTGTGAAGTCTAATGAAGATTTTGATGAGCTTGGTTAGCTTTCTTGAGTGAGCAGTTCAAGCTAGCTCATCCCGGAGTAGTGGACAATACTATAATATACATGGGAGGTCCCATATCCAGCCCACACCCAATAACCATGTGGGCCTTGTCATCTGAATGGTCATTCTAGCTCCAGGGATTCCAATGGCATTGGCTAAAGCTATTGCTTGACTCCTCACTCTTCCTACTCCTGCTTCCTTCCTCTCCCTTCAACAGATATTGGTCGCATGATACTCCTTAGTCCCATGATTCACTAAACTCAATCTCACAGTCTACTTTCTAGAAATCCTACCTGCAACACCTTTATAGCTTGTAAAAGCCTTTGTTTGAGCTATGCTTGGAAAGACAGATGGCTAATCTTCCACTTTGCTTTCCTCTCCTCAGGTACTAGCCCTGTGGTGAGGTTATGGATTAAACATACATTGTTGGTGTAAAGACAATATGTGCAATTAAGAGTTTAGAAGGAAAAAAGTGACCAACAAGAGCTTGCAGTTTCCAAAATGTGGTATTTCTGGCTTCACTCCTTTACACAAAAAACCAAAGAAATAATGCCAAGATTATTGCCAACAATATCTCTGAACTCAAATATTAAGACATTTCCTGGGGCTGCAGAGAAGTAAAAAAAAAAAAAACAAAAAAAAAAAATCCAAGCAGATGGTAAGAGAATCAAACTTCCATATCCATGATATCCTTTTCTCCCATATGCCTGACACCAGGTGTGTGGAAAATCTCCCCCCAGCTCACAGTTTCTTCAGTGGAAAAAGTAAGACTCAGGTGAACAGCCAGCTTCTCCACAATCTTGAGTTTTCTGGTGAGAAACCTTTCCCTGGCTCAACCCACAAGAAGTGTTGGGAGTACCAGAAGGGTGAAATATCCTTGAGGAAAGCCAGAGACAAAGGGGGAGGTAGAAATACCATCCTTATCTCTGGAAACTCTGATCTATAACCTGGCCAAAGGAGATGGCAAATCAGAGTGGCTGTTTAGCAGTACCACACTGTTGAAGTTCATCTCACAGGTTTCCTGGATAAAAAACCCTAGCAGCCTTCCTATACTACTGGAATATCCTTTTTGGGACCTCTCCCATTCAAGATGGACAGCACTCTTATCATTTACTAAAACCAAGGCAAATCTGGGCTTAAGGCACCAACCATCTAGTGTTGAAAAGGAGGCAGTGACCCAGAGGGGGGAAAAAAAAAGAAATAATCAATAGGTAAATAACAAGAACTTCTGAACAAACATAGCTAATAAAAATAAAAACTAGCCAGACAGAGAAGACTGGAATAAATAGCTGATCACTCAGTGCACATCCCTCAATGCACAGTGTTCATCCATAAGAAAACAACAGCAGGCTGGCATGATGGTACATGCCTGTAATCACAACACTTTGGGGAGTCAGGGTGGGCAGATCAGGAGTTGAAGGTCAGGAGTTTGAGACCAGCCTGGCCAACATGGTGAAACCCAGTCTCCACTAAAAATACAAAAATTAGCCACGTATGGTGGCAGGCACCTGTAATCCTAGCTACTCGGGTGGCTAAGGCAGGAGAATTGCTTGAATCCGGGAGGTGGATGTTGCAGTCAGCCAAGATTGCACCACTGTACTCCAGCCTGGATGACAGAGCAAGACTCCATCTTGTTGGGGGAGGGAGGGAAACAACAGTAGACAGGGAACCATAACATCCTCAAACAAAGCACAGACCCTAACAACTGCTCTTAACAAGATGGTGATATGTGAACTCTCTGACCAGGAATTCAAAAATAGCCATTTTAAGGGAGCTCAGTGATATCCAAGAGAATACATAAAAGCAATTCAGAAGTTTATCAGATAAATTTAACCAAGAGATTGAAATAATAATTAAAAAAATCAAACATAAATCTTTGAACTGAGAGATACATTTGCCAAACTGAAAAATTTATTAGAGGCTCTTAACAGCAGAATAAATCAAGCAGCAGAAAGAATCAGTGAGCACAAAGACAGTCTATTTGAAAATACATAGAGGAGAAAAAAGAAAAAAAAGAATGAAAAGTAACAAAAATTTTTATATCTTTTTTAAGATATAAAAAATTACTTTAAAAGCCTAAGAATTTGTGGTGTTCAAGAGAGAGTTAAATAAGCAAGGGGCAAAAAGCTTATTCAAAGAAATAATGACAGAAAACTTTCCAAAACTCAAAAAGAAGATAAATATCCAGGTACAGAAAGATCAGATAGCACCAAAAAGATTTGACTAAAAGAAGATAACCCCAAGACATATAATAATCAAACTCTCGAAGGTCAAGGACAAAGAGAGGATCCTAAAAGCAGCAAGAGAAAATAAACAAATAGCATGTAAAGGAGCCCCAACTTGTCTGGTAACAGACTTTGCAATGGAAACCATACAGACCAGGAAGGAGTGGGTGGACATTTTCAAAGCACTGAAAGAGAGGGGCAAAAAAAAAAAAAAAAAAAAAACTGTCATCCAAGAAAACCATATCCAGCAAATCTGTCCTTCAGGTATGGAAAGATTCAGTCTTTCCCAGACAAACAAAAGCTGAAAGATTCACCACCAACAGATTTTACAAGAAAGGCTAAAGGGAGTTCTTCAGTGCAAGTAAAAAGCCACTAATGTGCAAAATGAAAACAGAGGAAGGTATAAAACACACTGATAAAATTAAGTACATGGACTAATCCAGAATAATCTAATACTGTAATTATGATATGCAATTCACTCATAACTCTAATATGGAGCCCCACAACAAAGCTATAAAAGACAATATTGCCTACAACCTGTTAAGAGATAGGCAATATAAAGATATATAAATTGAGACAACATAAGTCAAAATGTGGAATGGATGTGGTTAAAGTGTAGAAGGTTTTCAATTTTTTTCTTTGTTACTTTGTTTCTATTCTTTGAGTCCTGAGATAAGTTGTCATCTTTTGGAAATAATTTGTTACATTTGTAAGATATTTTTTCTAACCCTTATGGTAACCACTATACAAATCCTATAATACAGTCACTAAAAATAAAAAGCAACAAATTAAAAAATACTACCCATATCACTTTCACAAAGGAAGTAAAAGGAAGGCTATAAGAAAGAAAGGAAAAGAGGAATTACAAAAAGCAACATGAAAAGAAGCTAGAAAATATGTAGTAATAAGTTCTTATCAATAATAGCATTGAATGTAAGTGGATTCAAACAAAAAGGCAGACAGTGGCCGAATGGATAAAAAAACAAAACCCAACACCAGAGCTCTCAAGTATGTAAAGCAAATATTAATACATTTAAAGGGGGAGATACACAGCAATACAGTAAGAGTAGAGGACTTAACATCCAACTCTTGCTAATGGACGGATCATTTAGATAGAAAATCAACAAAGAGAGGCACATATTCTCAGGATCTCCTGAGGGCTGACTCATGGGCCATGGTCACTTATATTTGGCTTAGAATACATCTCTTCAAATATTTTATAGAGTTTGACTCTTTTGGTCAACAATAACTTGGCACCCAAACGTGTTGATTCAGAGAAGGCTCAGGACCCCAAAGGAATTACCCAAAGTTGGAGCTAAGGTACAAGCAGAGGCCCATTGAAAGCCTCCCCAACTTCAAGCTTCTCATTCAGTGGCACTGGTAAGTCCTCCTGAGCCTGTGACCTCCCTTTGGTTGATGGTCCTTGATTTATTCTGAGCTGTTTTTTTTTTTTTTTCTTTCCTAGGAAGTTGTGGTTTACAGATCCTATTTTAGTTCAAAAGTGTGTTCTAAAGGATCTTCTCCATTGCTTTTTCTCCAAAATTAATCTCTATTTGCCTTGTCTGTGAAAATTTGCATGAGGAACCAAACTGTTGTTTTCATAGACAAATGAGAGACTGAGTTTTCTCAGCTCCAAAGAGAAAGATCATTTTGCTCCTCCCAGCTGAAAGGTGCCTCTGGGCAACCAGGGGCCTTGTGGGAATGTATAGTTTTCAGGTTGACCTTGGGGCTCTTTTTCCTTGATATAAATGTGCACAAAGGCCATAATATTTCACAGTGGGGTTGAACCCCCTGTGAGGTATAGCAGCCCTACAAAGAACACTCAACAAAATTAGTTTTAAAAGCCTCATCCAGGAAGCACATAAGGGAGCTAGTCACTTCCCGCTTTGGGTCCTCCTGGAGGTGCTTAGACCCCTGCAAAGAGAAACAGACAGGTAAGAGGATGGCAATGACTCACTTGTGATACTATGGAGTCCCATCTGTAACCAGCCTATACTTCGACCCATTCCGCCAAGACCCTAAGCCACAGCTCAGTTCTTCCTTTTAAGAAGAAAAACAACAACAACAACAACAACAAAGAGAATGACCCCCTTTTGGGCACTCTGTTGGTTTTATGGCACCCTTACTTGATAGAGCTTGTGTAAAATGGAAATATGATGGTCTTTGTGCACACTTATATCAAGGAAAAAGAGCCCCAAGGTCGACCTGAAAACTATAGAGTTCCTAAGTTCTCTTTTTCCCTATTTTCTTTTCTGCCTGCTTTAAATCTCTTGTTACTTTTCTGCTGAGATAAAAACCACTGTTTAGATCCAACCATTGGCTTTTTTTCCCCTTTTTTTTTTTTTTTTAGCAAGCCAATAAGTTTGTTTTATTATTTCACGGCTAGAGTTCTGAAGTAAAAGCTATAGGATCTCTCTCTCTCTCTGTCTCTCTCTCTTTCTCTCTCTCTCTCTCTCTGTGTGTGTGTGTGTGTGTGTGTGTGTGTGTGTGTGTATGTGTGTGCTTGTATTTTTAAAAGGACTTTTTGTTTTTTGTTTTTTTCCCTATGATCCTGTTCTTCTTGATAAAGTTTTTCTTAGTTATTGACAACTTGGGGTTCCTTAAAGAAGACAGAGAAGGCACCAAACTCCTTTTTTTTTTTTTTTTTTTTTTTAGGGAGGGGGTTTCTCTTTTTTGTCACCCAGGGTGGAGTGCAATGGTGCGATCTCCGCTCACCGCAACCTCCGCCTCCTGGGTTCAGGCAATTCTCCTGCCCCAGCCTCCTGAGTCGCTGGGATTACAGGCATGCGCCACCATGCCCAGCTAATTTTTTGTATTTTTAGTAGAGACGGGGTTTCACCATGTTGACCAGGATGGTCTCGATCTCTTGACCTCGTGATCCACCCACCTCGGCCTCCCAAAGTGCTGGGATTACAGGCTTGAGCCACCGCGCCAGAAACTTCTTTTTCTTTATGAAACCCCAAAAGTAAACAGACAAGTTTGCTCTCAGATCTTTAACTGCTTACTTGTATTGCATTGTGTTGCCTGATTTGTTTTTCCAATTACAATAGTTATTGCAACAGAAGCTACTCTTAGCTCTTTAAAATAAGAAAGAGTGTACTTTAGACATTTAGAAAAATGTCTCTGTAAAAAAAGAAGTGCACTATGAAAGCATGGTCTAGCCTCAGAATAATTCTTTTTGGAGACCCAGATACAGTATGGACTCTGCCCAAAGCTGAGGTCCAGTTGAATGATGGAGACTAAAATAAAAAGTACTTATATAAATAAAATTGGTCTCCTTATACAATCCTGTGATCAATTATATAATTTAATATATAATTAATAATTAAATCCATTTTAATTTTCCTCTAGCACACCACACTTTCTCTCTGTATTTTGAGATAAATTTCACTATCTGATTTTTCACCTAAGAGTTGCTTCCTTTAATATGCAAATTTGGGACTATTTAGCTGACAACTGCCTAGGGTAATGAAACAGGTTATCAAGAATTTGAAACTCTAAGGGGAAAAAAAGAGGTATTACAAAATCTATAAGATATGCTTCTATCTGTGTGCCTAATACATCTATGTTGTTATGTGTTGTGTATACAATGTTTCACTACTAAAAATATATAAAAGAGCTGTAATTAATTGGCTTAAAGAAAAATAAAAGCAATTAAATCACATACTTTATTAAGAAAGAACACTAGTCAAATTCTTTTTCAAGTTCACGCAACTTAAGTAAAATTTTTTTTTGTAAAATTTTTAATTAATAAGCTGACTTTAAAGTTATTGGTAAAATAATACTAGGAATGTCTTAAGAATTGTTAGCATTTTTGTTTGCCTTATTGATCAAGTGGTTTCATGCTTTTTCCTGCAGAACACTATAATATTTGCCATAAAGGTTATAAAACTATAAACGCAGCCCCAAACAGAATGATCTTCGCTTGCATAATTTTTCATAAATAAGGCATGTAATATTGTTGGTTTAATGAAGACAGCTAAATCCTGAGTTATTGGTAAAAGTTACATTATATTTAACCATAAGTTTCCTTACTTAAGTAACACCTGAAATTCATAGTTTACAACATTGGTTAACAGGGAATTACTGTAAGTAATGACTCATGGTTTTTGTAAATAATCTAGGTAAACAAATAAATTAATCAAGTAAATGTAAGGGAGCAAATTCTTGTAAACAATCATCATATAATTTAGGATCTAAGGTCATTAATACATATTAAGTGACTGGGTAATTTTCCAATTTAAAAATTGTAAGACAACTTTTTTTAATGTTCTTAGTAAAAGGTAAATATCTTTGTCTAATTCGAAGCCTATTTAAAGGTTATGTAAAACAAGGTAAAAGGAAGCAGAAAATAAGAGATGTAAAGAAAGTTATAGATATAAATTTGTATTTTTTTGGTCAGGCACAGTGGCTCATGCCAGTAATGCCAGCATTTGGGAGGCCAAAATGGGCAGATTGCTTGAGGCCAGGAGTTTGAGACCAGCCTGGGCAACACAGTGAAACCCTGTCTCTACTAAAAATATTGATGCAAGAATTAGCCAGGTGTGGTGGTGCACATCTATAATCCTAGCTACTCAGGAGGCAGAGGTTGTAGTGAGCCAAGATTGTGCCACTGCACTCCAGCCTGGATAACAGAGTGAGACTCTTTCTCAAGAAAAACCCCAGACCACGCATGGTGGCTCACGCCTATAATCCTAGCAGTTTGGGAGGCCGAGGTGGGGGGGAATCACTTGAAGTCAGAAGTTTGAAACCAGCCTGGCTGGTTTTTGGGGGTTCATCTTTACTAAAAATACAAAAATTAGTTGGGTGTGCTGGTGGGGGGAGAGCGGGGGCGGAGGGGGCACCTGTAATCCTAGCTACTTGGTAGCCTGAAACAGGAGAACTTGAACCTGGGAGGCAGAGGTTGCAGTGAGCCAAGATCGGCCGCTGCACTCCAGCCTAAGCAACATAGTGAGACTCCATCTCAAATTCAAAAAACAAAAAAACTGAAAACTAAAAAACAAGAGGATTTTTGGTTAAAAAAGAGAAAAGGAAAATGATTTTATATGAGAAAGAATCTTGTATAGTGAATTTTGTCCTAAAATAAAGTGACTGGGTTGCTCAAGAAAAAGGAATATTTAGGACAAACCAGAAAGTTCAAGGATGTTATAAATGGTCTAAGTCATGATAAGGTTAGTAAAAAGGGAACTTATATAAATGTTATGTGATTAATTGGCTTTAACTGAAGAAAATGATCATAGGTTTCCTAAAATTGAACTTTGATATTAAAAAAACATGAATGCAGAACTAAAAGATTTGGTTAAAACAAAATTTAATTGAAATATTGACTTAATGCAAGAGGTTTTTTTAATTTTTAGATTCTGTAATCTATAATCTGTTTCTTTGAAATTCTTTAGATTGATATCTCAGAAGTTCAGCTTCTCTTTTACAAAGGCCTTGGATGATAACTTTCTCCTTCACTTTTTGTTAGCTCCTGTAATGTTTTTTTTTAAATTAGTAATCTGAAATAAGGGAGAAAAATATTAAAAAGCAGGCAAATAAAATATTTTGTTAACCTTCCTCCTTTTAATTCTGCATGCTTGTATCTCTATCTTTATATGTTTCATGAAAATGATATTTCACTATCAAACTTCATGTAAGAGCTCTAATCAAGTAATTAAAAAAAAAAAAAAGTAAGTGCTTATTAGACTGGTAGAAGCCAGCTCAGATACCTTTTAATTCACATAACCCTGGCAATATTTGATAATTAGATACATTTAATTTCAAAACTCTGTTCAGTAATTAAAAATCTTAAAGTCATGTTATGTTAAATTATTTCATTTTTTTCTCTGAGAATTTGAGTTACTAAGCATTGAAATAATAGGAACATAAAATATGTTTTTGGTGAAGTTTACAAAACACAAGGATGTTTATTTTGCTTAAAAAAAGAAAATAGGGTTATTTTCTAGTTGAACCATTTGAGTTGCTTTAAAATGAAGGACAAATTATACAGATAAAACTAAATGAATAAAAATAACAATGAAGCCAGGACAACAAAAGTTAACTCTGAGACCTGTGGTTACCAAGAAGAGGAGTCAATATGGGGAAAGGGAAAAACCAAATAACCAGCCAGAGGATATAATGTAAAGAAATTGTTCTATTTTGTAGATTGGTATCATCAGTTTCTTTTTTTGTTGTTTTGTTTTTTTGTTTGTTTGTTTTTGGAGATAGGGTCTCACTCTGTTGCCCAGGTAGGCATGCAGTGGCGCTATCTCAGCTCACTGCAGCATCCACCTCCTGCGTTCAAGCAATTCTCCTGCTCTCAGCCTCCCAAGTAGCTGGGACTACAGGTGCCCACCATCATGCTTGGCTAATTTTTTGTATTTTTATTAGAGATGGGGTTTCACCATATTGGCCAGGCTGATCTTGAACTCCTGATGCCCACCTTGGCCTCCCTAAGTGCTGGGATTACAGGCATGAGGCACCATGCCTGGCCCATCTGTTTCTCAAAATATCTATGTAGTGGATTGTAAAAATAACCACTTTAAGAAATAAATTTCTTAATTTTAAATCCTACAGAATATAAGGGCTTGTTTGGGTTGAGAAGGACCCACAGTTTACTGTTGAACAATCACTGATGAGTTTATGTGATCCAAATGCACAGGAGGTTATTCCTGAGAGAACAATCATCCTAGTGGAGCAGATAAATGTCACTCTGAGGTCCGTTTGCCCTGAAAAGGAAACTGCCTAATTCTCCCTGTAATATACCAAGTGGAACATCCCAGATGAAGCAGTTAATATGCTTCATATGTAAGCCATATGGGACTGGCTTTATAATAACCAGGATATCCTCCAACCAAATAAACCTTATTATCCAGGTAATGGTAAATTTGGAGTGAAAAGGGCCTCTTTTACATGGGCCTTTCAGAAGCTTTATCAAATTAGCTATCCCTCATGGATATTACAAATGCAACTCCCTGCTGGGAACTCAAACCCTTTTTCACCAGAAAAGGTAAAATGGCCTAGGGAGAAGAAATACTTTCCGGCAACCAGAATATAAAAATGTGCAGGTTAAAAAATTATGAAATTTAAGATGTTTAAACAGGCTTTATGTATGGTAATTGTAACCTCTTTACCTTAATGTCTTATGATAATGGGTATTGTATCTAACAGAGTGTTGTTTCCCCTATCTAGTACTATAAAACCAAAGGCATGTAAATCTGCTCTTTTGAGAAATGTTAACATCACACATGCTAAATTGGAACTAGTAAGATCACCTGGGCCCACAAAGTATAGGGTAGAAGCTGGAGTATGAAGCTCTGCTTCATACCCCTTTGTAGAGCATTTATTGGGGCTGAGGGCAAAAAAACTATGAGTAGTACTTCCCAGTGATAAAGACTGGACTAGAAAATTTCCACTTGAGGGGCATTAACTGCCCTGCTATAGAATGTTAACTGAAGCTATCCCTATGCTAAAAGAAATAATTATGCCCCAAAGAGTTCTATGAGAAAATAAAAGTGGTGGCCGTGCGCAGTGGCTCACGCCTGTAATCCCAGCACTTTGGGAGGCTGAGGCGGGCGGATCACGAGGTCAAGAGATAGAGACCATCCTGCCCAACATGGTGAAACCCCGTCTCTACTAAAAATACAAAAAAAAATTAGCTGGGAGTGATGGTGCGCACCTGTAATCCTAGCTACTCGGGAAGCTGAGGCAGGAGAATTGCTTGAATGCGGGAGGCAGAGGTTGCAGTGAGCCAAGGTAGTGCCACTGCACTCCAGCCTGGCGCCTGGTGATGGAGCGAGACTTTGTAAAAAAAAAAAAAAAAAAAAAAAAAGAAGAAGAAAAGAAAAGTGGTTTACATAGGATCTTGCTACTGGAAATACAAGGAGGAGATACTCATATGCAGGAAGCCTCTTTCCTTCCTAGGAAACTTTCTAATTATGTGAGGAGCTGCTAGATTCTACAGTGCCGGATAGACAGCTCCCATGAGCTGTTTGGCTTGTGAATGGCATTTCCAAGGTAAACAAACACTTGTTTGAAAGCTGTTGTTCTGGTTAAAGAAGGGTCAAGAAAATCTTTTTCCTTTGAGTTGTTTGGGTGAAATATGTTTTTGTAAGCAAATTACCTTTCTCTCTGAGTTCTACAAAATTCAAATTGTGATTTTATGACAATATAGTTATTTGCATACATCATATAGTTATTTGCATTCAGTAAGAGTCTTTTAAACAGAGCAATTGGAGACACTGGTTCCTTTACCAAGACTTCAACTAAAATAGAATATTTTTAGGTAAAGTTCCAGCAAAGCTAGCTTAAAAGAAGCCTATATAGCCAATTAATTATTGCTGCATTTTAAGCAAATACTAAGGCCAAGTATAAACTTGTTTTTCACACAAATTGGTCTTACTATAATTTGTCTTTAATAGAAAAGGAAGGCTAGAGAAAGAGAACTTGTTTCAAAGGAAAAGTGTAACACTTGATAATAGGTTTCAGCCCTAATTTTGTTTATTTTGAGTGCAGATTGAATCATTATTTCTTGGCTACAATAATACTGTAGAGAGTACCAGTTTATAATTTTTCTTCATATTTTTAGATGGTGCCCTAATAGAATAGGTTGCTTTTTATGTTCTAACATCAAATACTTTTTTGATTGTCAAAATATAAATGTTATTTATCTCTTATTGCTTTACTTCCAAGGAAACCAAAATTATGACATTCTGAAGACCAGAGATGCTAATCTCCCTCATTTGGCATCCCACTGGCCCAGATCTGTTTTCCACTGCAAATGCTCTGCTCCCAAAACTATACAAGCACTCCCCCTTTAGGCCCAGGAATGGTCATAGAAGAGGTGGGTGCATGAGAATCTAAGGACCAGTTTTGAGAGATAGAATTAAATCAAGGTATGACGGGATACAAAAATGCCTAAACAAACCTAGTAAAACAAACCTAAGCTATCGTGTGTCACTTTTGCATCTACCCCAACCATAAAGAATTTTTTGCTTCCTGTAGAATTAAATGAAAATATTTATTGATGAGATAAAGAAAACTTATAACAAAGCCTCCTGGGTATAATGCTTCCAGTTATGAGTTTGCTAAGATCTTTCTATCTATCCATCCGTCGATCGATCGATCTGATTTTTTTAATTTTCAGAACAATGCTTATTTTGTTTGGTTTTTGTTTTAAGACAGAGCCTACCTCTGTTGCCCAGACTGGAGTGCAGTGGCTGATCTTGGCTCACTGAAACCTCTGCCTCTCAGGTTCAAGCAATTCTCATGCCTCAAGCCTTCTGAAATAGCTGGGATTACAGGCATGCACCACAATGCCTGGATAATTTTTGTATACTTATGTTTTGTATAGCAAGCTGTTATAAGTCTGTAATTAAAACCAAGCTTACAGTAGCTCAACACATAGAAGTAAAAAATAAATTAGTTTTGTAACTTTGCCTTTTGGTTTTTGTTTGTTGGCTTTTTACTTAAAATAATAATTTTAAGAGATAATGAATGCCTGTCCACATCCATTCCTATCTGGCCTGGAGTAATTATTGGCTATAAATCTTTTGACTCTTATGGCCCTTGGCCATCGGGAGTCACATTGAGGGATAAGATGGACCTGGGACAGGCTGCCATGCCACCCTGGCAATGCTATGGAACAAAATAAAGATTTGATGGCCTTTATTGTTGCCTCTGGTAAATCTTGGCCAGAAGGGGGAAAATTTAAACCAAAGATTAAATTCTAAGCACCCCCAACCATCTGAATGGATTTTCTCCTTGGCAATGGTGCTCTTTAAAATTTAACCTGAGGGGCAGGGCATGGTGGCTCATGCCTGTAATCCCGACACTTTGGGAGGTCAAGGCGTGGGGACCACTTGAGGTTGGGAGTTCAAGACCAGCCTGACCAACGTGGAGAAATCCCATCTCTACTAAAAATACAAAATTAGCCAGATGTGGTGGCACATGCCTGTAATCCCAGCTACTTGGGAGGCTGAGGCAGGAGAATCACTTGAACCCAGAAGGTGGAGGTTGCAGTAGCCTGGGCAAAAAAAGAAAAACTCCAACCAAAAAAAAAAAAAAAAAAAAAAAAAGTTTCCCTGAGAGACTGTTTCAGGCCATGATGGCAAGTGGGGGTCATACATTATACCTCTCCAGCATTAACATCAACACAGATCCTTAAATCTGATAAAAAGCATTTATAATCTATTCTCTCTGAAGCCTGCTACCTGGAAGCCTCATCTGCATAATTAAACTTTGGTTTCCACAACACCTTATCTTAATCCGGACATTTCTTTCAGTTGATCCCAGGTCTTTAGATAAACTCAGCCAATTGTTAATGAGAAAATTTTTACATCTGCCTATAAGCTGGAAGAACCCCCTCCACCCTTCGAGTTCTCCCACTTTTCTGAACTGAACCAGCATATTTCTTAGATGTATTTGCTTGAAGTCTCATGTCTCCCTGATATGTATAAAACCAAGCTGTGCCCCGACCAGCTCGGCACATGTTCTTATGACCTCCTGAGGGCTGTGCCATGGCCATAATCACTCTTATTTAGCTCTGCATAGATATCTTCAAATAATAAAATCAACAAAGAAACATTAAAGTATACACTAGACCCAAAACACCTGACATATACAGACTATTTTGCCCAACTGCTACAAAATACACATTCTTTTCATGAGCATATGCAACATTCTCCAAAATAGACTATATCTTCATCCACAAAACAAATCTCAACAAATTCAAAAAAGTAGAAATGATATCAGGTATCTTTTCTGATCCGAATGGAATAAAACTTGAAATCAATAATAAGAGGAGCCTTGGAAACTACACAAACACATGAAAATTAAATAACATGCTCCTGAATGAACAAGGGACCAATGAAGAAATTAAGAAGAAGCTAAAAATTTTATTGTAACAAAATAGGATTATATTATACAAAAATATATGGGATACAGCAGAGGTAGTACTAAGAAGGAAGTTTATAGCAATAAACACCTACATCAAAAAGGTATAAGGACTTCAAATAAACAACCAAACAATTGTTGAATACCATGAGTTCCAAATTTCTCTTCAAAGAGTCAGTGTGCCAGTATGTTGTTTCTTTGTTCTCCATTTTAAAGTTTAACTTCCTCATTCTCGTCGTCTCCTTGCTCCTAGTTTCAGTAAACAACTTTCCCCCTAGCCCTAATCAGTAGTTCACATCTGTTCCCCTGGTCACCTGCTCTGTCCTGAGTCATCCCCGGCCACTTGGTCTAACTTGAGTCACCTTTAGTCATGTGTTCCGCAACTGTCTTTCCCACCGAAACTGCTCACACTGCCACTCTGGCTCATACCCCTGATCTCTTTAAAATAGCCAATTGGAATTAGCTTAGACTGTGCAGTCCAACCCTAGCCAATAGAAGAACAACACAGCAGTAGGAGCTACCTGTGTCAGGGATAAGAACCACTTCCTCTCCCTTGTTCAGGTGTGCTCTCTGCTTCATCCACGAGACGCTCCCTTCTATAGAAGTAAAAATTGCCTTGCTGAGAAAATTTATGTTCAAGTGCTATTTCTTTTGCAGCACCAAAATATTTGCTTCTAACAATGTGGTGGCCCATATGGGGAGCCCATTATCCCCCAGAGAACAGGTGTCCAGTAGCCTCTTGTGAGAAGACATGTCTCACTGCCTTGTTGCAGTGGCCTTAGGGTGAGAGACTGGGGACCCACCCAGTGTGATGAATAAACCTGGACTCTCAGCAACATGGAAAGAAACTGGCCAGTGACCTGCGGGAAGGGATCCCTGCATACCGCAGCCACCAGATAACTCTGTGCACAGACTAAGGTAAGAAACTCTGTGCACAGACTGACGTCATAAAGGTGTCAAAGTATTTCCTTGGAGGCCAGGATATTCTCGAGGTTAAATGTGTGTGTGAATAATCACAAGGACTACTGACTGTGCTGCTGCTTGTGTGAATGGTACTAAGCAATACTACTGTGCAGAGCGAGTGGGTCCTATCTGCAGTTCCATGGTCACCTCATACAGCTTAGGGTGGATGCTGCCATGGGGATTATACTGGCATGCCGATGCCAAGAGGGACTTGGATCTCCTCCAGGGGAGAAGCCAGAGTGGATGAAGCACAAGAAGGGTGCAAGGAGCCTCCAGTGGGTGGAGCTAAAGGATAGGCAAGGCATTTCTAATATGAGAAATTAAGCCTGATAGCCCTAGCAAGCCTCTAGAGAAAGACAGGTGAGACATTTCTAATGTGAGAAATTGAGCCTAAGAGCCCCAGTAAGCCTCTAAAGAAGGATAGGCGAAACATTTCTGATATGATAGATTGAGCCTAACTAGGACCAAATATGGGAAATACCACAAGCAAGACAGAGAGAAAGAAGGATAAAGATGGTAATAAGGATAATCTCCTTGATAGCCTCTGGGTCTCATGTTTAAATACTGGAAGGATAATGAAAGGACTAAACGTAAGAAAATGCAACAAATGATAAAATATTGCTGTTTTATTTGGACTCAGGGACCCAAACTCAAACCGTCAATCTTCTGGCCAAAGCTTTGGTTGAATGAGAATGTAATTTGTCAACTTCTGATTCAATATATTAATGATAGAAGTCCAGTTTCTCAAGGAGAACTGGACTATGATCTTTGCTGGAGGCAAGGACTTGTCCTCCTTTTTCCCTTAAAAAAAAAAAAAAAAAAAAAAAACAGGGAAGAACCTAATCTGGCACCTCAAAATGAAAAGTCTGAGGAGCCAGTTCCCATTCCCATGTCTAAAGACTCCTCCAGCACATGGGATCCCCTAGACCATCTCCCCCACTCATTGTCCCCAATTCCTCTCCCTAGGTTGCCACTGCCACTCCAGATCCTTTCCAGATCCTTCACTGTCCCATGTTATTTCTCCTCCTTACAATCCTGACTCTTGGGAATTATCATCCCAAGTGTCTCTCCCTATCAGCCTAAGGAATACCCCCACGCAAGGGGACTCCATCGTGCAATAGAGCAATATAAAAAGCGTATCCAAAACTTCCCTTCTCCCTCTACAGCTAAAGAGTCAGCCCCTGCCCTTTTCCCTTTAAGGGAGATATCACAAGGAGGGGGAGCCATTGGCTTCGTGAGTGCTCCCTTAACCAGTTCAGAAGTCCGGAATTTTAAAAAGGAGCTTAAGCCACTACTAGATGACAATTACGGAGTGGCAGATCAAATTGATCAATTCTTAGGACCTCAGTTATACACTTGGGTCAAGTTAATGTCTGTCTTGGGCATCCTCTTTTCAGGAGAAGAAAGGAGTATGATTTGCAGGGCTGCTATGGTAGCTTGGGAATGTGAGCACTCTCCTGGTCAAAACGTTCCTACCGTGGACCAAAAATTTCCCTCCTGAGATCTCTGGTGGAATAATTACAACTCAGCTCACTGAGAAAACATGAAGGCCAATTATAGTAAAAGGAATTTGGGTATCAGTACTTTGAACCCAAAATCTCTATAAGGCATTTGATATACAACTGGAAAAGGATGAAGGACCCATGAGATTCCTAGACAGGCTGAAGGAGCAAATAAGGCAATATGCAGGCCTTAATTTAGAAGACCCCTTGGTCAAGGAATGTTAAAATTCCAATTTGTCACTAAAAGTTGGCCAGATATTTCAAAGAAATTACAAAAAATAAAGAATTGGGAAGACCATCTCCTAAGTGAACTTCTCAGGGAAGCTCAGAAGGTATATTTGAGGAGGGATGAAGGAAAACAGAAACAAAAGACAGAACTTAACGTTATCCACCTTCCAACAGATGGCTCCACACCCATGTACTAAGCAGAGCTTCCAGGGGGCCAGAAACTATAAAGGGTTCAAACCCTCCTTTAGAGGACCTA